TAATGTGCCACCTATATATATATATAAACATATTCTGATAAATCTTTTAGTTTTTACTTTGAAATAATAAAAAAAAAACACAAAACACAAAACACAAAACACAAAACCTATAATCTCTGATCTATTGGTAGTTGCTGTTTAATGCCTATCTGCTAGACTATATCTATTGTGACAAACTATCTATATGTTTCAAATTCATTATAGCTTTAGTTTTACTGTGAAATTAAAAAATGTTTTCAAAACATGTAAAGCTTCCACTGCAATTTAATTATTGCCTGCTTTTGGTCAATTTATTTTGTCATCTTACCAAGTAAGAAGAACATGTATAGTAAAACACCGCTTTATATCAGTAAACATACTTACACGAGCAGCTATCATCTTTTCATTCTGGAGTGAAGGGCCTTTTGAAATCACATATTTTACAATGATACTAGTGAGTAGATTTACAAAACTTCGTTAATGAGCTCCGTTTTACAAACACCTGTGATACAAGTAGTCAGCCAAAATAAACTATCAATAGACCAATTAAAAGATTACTCGAGTTGTAAATATGTGCTAAATTGGATAGTCTATGGAAAGGTATATACTATGAAATTAAGAGCTCGGGGCAAGCCCCTCGCTCTAAATTTCATAGTATATACCTTTCCATAGACTAACCTAGACTTGGAACACAGCATTTATTTCAAAAAAGCCAGTAGCAATTTTTGTTTTAATATCTTGATTACGATACAATGAAATCTTACCCTTCTGGTCATTCATGCGTAGTTACTTAGTACATGGAAAAAGTATGTACTATGAAAATTAGAAGGCAAATATAAGCAATTTGAATGGACGAGAAGTTGTAAGTATGTGCTTAGAATATAGCAAAGTGCTCTCGACCAATGAAATTGTAGGATTTGGTGTTTCTTAATTGTGAAGAATGAATGAAATCATGTTCTTAGTAAGGGGTTATCCTATTGTTTAGGCCTACTTACAGTTCAAAACAAAGAGGTTTTATAAATGAGTTACAACTGCCCCGAAGCACATTTATCAGATTGAAGGGATTTATCACACAGTGATTGAAACTGACTAAAAGTTGAGTTGTGAAACAAACAAAAATCTCAAAATAAGTTGAAGTTTACTGGTGCAGTAAAATTTGGACCGTTTATCAGCTTGAAAGAATTTGTGATTAAAACTGACTAAAAGTTGAATTTTGAACAGATATATCATGTTAAGGATGGGTATTTGCGAAAAATACCAGTCGAGGGAATGTTAGATTCATTCTCAAGACTGGTATTTTTCGCAAATACCCCTCAAGAACATGCTATATCTGTTTAATTACACCGAATGTTAACGTTCAAAAACGCATTGATGATCGTGACGTTACAAGCGTCCAGTCGGATAGAGTTTTTTTTGGCAAATACCATGGCAGAGAGGGTAAAAAAGGCATATGCTTTTTGCATATACCCCGGCTGCGTTAAAAAATGAACGATATTCATTTGATAACAGTAAATTGGTGAAAAATACACTGGATGTCAACCAATTAAAACCCAGGATTCTTACATAAGGTGTAATTATGAAACAAAAACAAAAAAAAACAAAATTAGATGAAGTTTACTGGTGCAGTAACATTGGTTACTGAATCCGCAGTTGGTGAGAATAGTAATTTCCAATATTCTGATAAAATTCTAAAAAAAGGAATTAGTTAAACTTTTGAATATATTTTAAACTATTTTAAAGACATTGTATTTGAACATTTCCCTGACATAATGAAGTAGTATTTGATGTAAAGGACTGGACTGAAATATTGGCTGTAAAATAAAATTTATTTGTAACTCAAATTTTGAATTTATTGATTTAAAATGGAAATAAACAAAAAGTTTGATTGATTGTTGGTTGCTTTACGCCGCATTAGCACAACAAGGCTATATCGCGGCGAATAAACAAAAAGATAATTCTTCGCTAAAATATTACATGATTTACATTCATACTAACAATCAGGAAATATGTCTTACCATTTCATTGTACTGTTGTGTCATCTAAAGTATAAAACATAATTTATTATATTTTCCAAAATTATAAGAAGGTCCTCACATCACTAAAACTAATCCATAAATGAAATCATGCCTAAAAAGGAAGTCATGCATTAATTACAAACATTGCACTGACAATGAAACTAATTCTTAAATACAACCAATCAAGAGATCATTTAAGCCTTGAGCACTTTAGAATATTCTAAGTTTGTAAGAGAATCATAATCCCTTACTTCATGATAAGTACTCGTTAACGCTCGTACTTAATCATGAAGAAAGGGATTATCATTCTCTTACATATTCTAAGACAGGATGAAAATGAATAATCTGCAAAACAAAAATACAGGAAACAATTGTGTACATACATTTTTATAAATGAAAAAAGTAAGCATGCATACATGTAGCAACAGATGAAAATGAATATTCAATCCGGAATAAATTCTTCAGCCCAAGTCCCCCACCCCATCCAAGAAGATCAAATGGACGTCCCCTAGCTAATCATGAACTTTTAATCAACACTCCTGAGATTCTTGCATGATCTGGCGAAAATATTTGGAAATTGTATTTCGAAGTTTTGGACGCGCAAAAATCTCCGTACAAACGGTTACACTACAATCACATATTTGCTGACGGTTGCACATGAGTACACTATTTATTTCTGTCTTTGGTAATTTTTACAAGATTAAAAGTACATATAAAATGTGTCTCTCTTTTTTGCCGCGGTTGAAATAGTTTTAATTGAAAACAAAGATACTAGAAAAGGGTGCATGGCAATTGATGAATTATCAAGTTTTGGAAATATTATCAAGACCTTCCTGGGAGCGTCGTCATGATACCAAATATCGATTCCATCGTTTGAACATTGCAGCAGATACTATTTCATATAGTTTTCACATCTTCACGTCACAGATAGATAATAACTTTAAAAATTATAAAATTATGTTTCATTTCAACATTTGTTGTCCAAGTCCTTATGTCAATTGCATCTTCCATGTTTAAGTAGTTCGAAAAATAGGCTCGATCCGCGGGACAAATCAAATACTAGATAAATTATTATTTGCTGATCTATGCTAAAGAAGTGCACACAAATTCTGAAGAAAGGGGGTATCGATCCTCGCTTCCCTCTACCCTGCAAATGACATGATAATTTGCATTTAGCACAGTTCCCCATACCTCAAAATTCAAAGAATTAACACAATAAAGAAAAAACAAACAGAACTGTTAAAGACAGATTGTGATGTAAAGTGTTGTCGATTGCTTAAGCAAGCACATGTCACATATAAAGTCAAACTATTCAAATGAAATTTTCAATTCGGTCGTACTCCATAGGTTTTATTGGTGCATTAAAAAATTGAAATATAATAAAATGTGATTGATCATTAAATCTGTCAAACGAATAGTTTCGAAACGGTGATTATCGCTATACATTTCCAGTGACGGTCGAAATTCCCGTCCTTAACTCCGGTCACTTTGAAGAACCTACCTATTGGATTTATCGGTGTGCTCTCGTGATTGAGTTATATTCCTCAATTCAAAATAATTTCCTAAATTTTGTCACAACAAGTTTTAATAACACAATATCCGTATTTTCATTACTGGCCTGGTAATACCCTCGGGGAATTACAGTCCACCATCAGAGGTATACGTAAATGCATTTTTATGATGATTTCTTAACCAAACATTCTTCTTCTATAGGATATACGTCACTGCATCAAAAATGTATGCGTTATCTAAAAAAAAATTAAATTACCTTGTTAGTTTGGAATTCATTCTGGACTAATTATATTTTCGCTTAATTATTTGGAAGAAATATTTACCTTTGAAAAAGATATAAATAATATTCATCCAGGATTTATGGAAACATCAAAAAAAGATATATTGCAATTACTTTTATCGTCATGTTTATGTTAGAGCAAGACATGGCTGTTCCAATATTAAAAGTGTACACGAAATGAGATCAAGTTGCATTGGGTGGATGCGCAAATACAAATGCTTCTATAACTTTCATTTATTTAGCAATCTAGTTCATCGTACGAAATAAGGTTTTCATAATTATATATCCTTGAGTAACAAATAAAAGATACAAAACCAACTGCATTAAGAAGGGGCTGAACACGCATCAAAAAGAAAAATATTCAGTCAAGACAAATAAAAAGCGGCAAACGGTAAACGTATATAAATGGAAGATTATACGGCGGTGTGGATAGTGTTTGTTTAAGACAAATAAAAGCAGCAAACGGTAAACGTATGCAATCAAAGATTATACGAGGGTGTTGATGAGATTTACAGAAAAAGAGAATAAAAGGCGAAATAAAAAGAATAGAGAAGAGTAAAGTGTTAAGAAAAATTACTTGAATAATTACATAAAGTTAAAAGATATAAGTCTCCCACCATGCAGACCATCTTCAATATAATATCTCACCAGAATCAGAAGTTATACACTGTTTAAATATGAAAACGTTTGTGTTTGTGACAAAATTCGATGTAATATATATATATATATTACTTTTATTTAAATTACTGTATATATAAATGCTCACTGGTCAAAATTTTTCAATATCGTTTTTTGACTACTAAAAAGTAATGCTTTTCACCCATGGTATTGCAAATAAGGTTATATCGAAATAGTATGATATTGCTTGTCTGTCTATAAGTGTGTATTTGTGTAAAACAAATTGAATTATTATAAAACTAGTATGCGAATAATTTAGACATTTTTTTCTTTTTTCTTTTATATTATTAAAGTTAATTTCTCCCTGATATTCATATATATTTAATTATTCAACGTTTTCTCTATTTAAATCATAACATTTTGAGTGACTGTGTGTATTTAATGACATTCAGTGAAAAACTTTTAAAAGGACGATCTTGCAGCCAATCACAGATAAGATGGGTTTTTTTTTCTTCAATAACCAGATATTGAATAGAGTTGTCTCTCTTTACGTAATCATGCTAATATTGTTGACGCGGCACGCAACAGAGCAATGAATGACATACAAATCCAAGTAAATCCATTCAGACTTTTGTTTTTTCTCCCACGGTTACTTGTAATCGATACAACATATGTTATATAATTACTGTATGCCCAACGCCTGATTATCTGGTTCTCCATCTTCAACTTAATTGTTAACCAGGGTGTGGATCTTCGACTTCATTTATAATTCAAAAGATCACGGAGTTTTCGATTGATTGTATTGACCTGATCTGTAAGAAAAAATAAAAGAAAATCAACCCAGTTTACAGAGAAGCACTGACGGTCCTGTTGTCAGATACAGATTTGTTTGGGAATAGCTGAAGGCTGTTTTCAGGTATGTACTTTGGGTAGAAAGAAGGCTTTTGGGTATGTTCACATTTGAAAGAATTCCAAGTATAGAGTAAGATAAGGGCTCTTGCTATTTGACAAAAATCAAACAAGATTACAGAGAAGCACTGAAGGTCCTGTTGTCAGATACAGATTTGTTTGGGAATAGCTGAAGGCTGTTTTCAGGTATGTACTTTGGGTAGAAAGAAGGCTTTTGGGTATGTTCACATTTGAAAGAATTCCAAGTATAGAGTAAGATAAGGGCTCTTGCTATTTGACAAAAATCAAACAAGATTACAGAGAAGCACTGAAGGTCCTGTTGTCAAATACAGATTTGTTTGAGAATTATTTAAGGCTGTTTTGAGTTGTTTACTTAGAGCTAGAAAGAAGGCTTTGTATATATCACTAGAATCAAACACAGAAAAGCACTGACGTTCCTGTTGCCAGATACACATTTCTTGGGAGTTGTTGAACATTATTTAGACAATTCTGAGGTATGTACACATTTGAATGAATTTCAAGAAGAGAGAAAGAGAAGGGCTCTTGCTGTTTGATTAAAATCATACAAGTTTACAGCGAATCACCAAAGGCCTGTCAGATACAGATTTGTTTGCTGGTTTGAGGTATGTACTTTCAGCTAGAAAGGCGGATTGGTATGTTATACTAAATACAAACAAGAATACAGGGAAGCACAGACGGTCCTGCTGTGTGTCAGGTATACAAATGTGTTGGGTATCGATCAATAGAAAATGAAAGAATATGGAGTAAATGTACATGGGACAAAATCACACACAATACATAGTAAAAATAAATAATTTATCAATGAACAGGGCTTTTATTCCTGTTCTTCATCTTGACAATTGATGTAGGGTCTTCAACAATGAACGAATCATTCATACCCTACAACAAGGTCAAGACGGCCCCTAGCGTCGACTTAAGCGGTACTATTGATAAAAATAAACGCTATTTAATGTTCTGTACACATATTTGAATGGAGATATGACTTTCTCTAAAATTTTATTATTTTAAGAAACGTTAAGATTGTGTGTGTTAGTCAAGCACTTTACATTTCGCCAAGAAACAAACTGTCGTGTGGATGATATTGGTATTATGAACCACGCGAAACATTTTCTACATTTTTCAAAGAAGCACAACTAGTGTTCAAGATATTTAGCATCGTTTAGTATGTTTTAAAAGCTTCATTTAATTGTTTGTTTGAATTTGCCAGAGTAGAAGTGTAATAGTATGTCATTTTATCAGTAACATACGGAAATTTTCAAGTTTTGAACATCTTTTTTTTTCAGATGATATTTTTTTTATCTTAAGAAGCTGCTGTCTAAGTTTCATATAGCATTCCGTTAAGGTTTAACAAAGTTATTGACGTTTAATAAATATAGACCGTATGTTGATGTTAACTGCAAGAAACTAAGTCCATTTATAAAAAAAAAGATAAAAAGAAAAAAAAGTACATGTGCTTCAAAATTTTGCATCCGATACTACCTCCTAATCATAAACAAGCCTCTGCCTAAGCTTCTAAAATTCTATTCAGGTTTGACAATGTTACTGTTGTGTAAAAAAAAAAAGCATTTCTGAATAGTTTCGTAAACTTCCGTGAAGGTTTGACAATGTTATTGATGTCCAGAAAAACTTTAACCATGCATATACTGAACCTAAATGTTAACACCGACGACGGATGTATATGATTGCTTAATCTCGCTTCTCAGGCGAAACAATATGTCACAGATTCGATGCCTGAAAACAAAAATAGAAAAAATAGATCTACAAATAAATTCTGTTAGAAGTCTGATGATACAAGATCGTAAAATACAATGCCTCTACTAGTTCTGCATCGTATATTTTAATTGCAAAGAATTTGTTCATTTTGTTTCAACTTCTAAATAGAGTTTATTTTTCTATTTATTTTATTAAATGCACATTTATACTTCGAGGGGGTGAAAACATACGAACAAAAATTAATACAAATATATATACAATTCAAACAAAATATTAAAAACATTATATATACCGGAATTGAAAAATAAGTAATAATACTTATGCAGGTGTGGTGTCTACCCTCCTCAGTGCAAATCACTTATTAATGAAAGGAACAGTATGCTGCATAATATTCAACAGTGATGATAGAAGTTAAATGGTGACTAACTTTAATTTGCGGATATTGCGTCCCCAGAGTTTCACGCGGCCTTTATGATATTAAAACAATTTTTAACTTTTTTTTCAAAAAGTTAATTTCATTTGAAAATTAATCTGTATAGTCTATTTGTCTTGGAGTTGTGTAAGGTTTTTTTCATGGACTTTATTTCAATATGTCTGTGGGTTTTTTTTTAAGAAAAGAAAAATATGTTGCGCTTTGGTATATCATATACACTGTGCCTGATATGCAGCTTGAATAATCTAATATCTATTATATATATATACGAATATTATATATTCTTGGAAGTACTCGTCTCTTGAATTTATACTAATTTATATAACCAAGTAACAAGTTTATCCCACATATGGGCCCCAATCAGTTTCATTCATAAAGTAACTGGGCGGAGCCTAAATGTAATCTCGGAAGGTGTGCGACACGAGAATTTGACTGTAAACAAATCCACATGTGTATCGGCGCGTAACTGCCGCGTGCCGATAGATGCTTTTGAAAGATGACAGTCGTGTAGACACACAAAAATAAGAAATATGATCTTTTTCGGTAAAGATTATTACACAGAGACGGCTCTTAAACATTGAATGCCGGTTTAAAAGAAGGATGTATATTTCTTTTAAAGTTTTGAAAAAGTTGTACACACTTTGAAAACAAATATGTTTCAAACGAAGGACAAAAACAAAGAACATAAAAATTCACGGGAGCGTGTGAAGAAACACCTTGTTTTAACTAAACGTTTATGGATATTCCTTGTTCTTGGAGCAGTCGTGTCGATACTTGGATTAATTATTGGAGGGATTTATTTCAACGTTCAGTCGATCACAACATCATCAGAGTTGACAGAAATTTTACCTACTTACATACTTTGCTTGTTGGTAAGTTTGTTGGGAAACAGTTTTCCAAAGAGCTTGCAATTTAGTTTTATTTAATTTTTATTTATTTTTTTTTTTGGGGGGGGGGGGTGGTCCGTGCGCATGGAGAGAGATTGAACGAGGGTAGGAATACGTGTAACAACCCAATATGTAAGAAGAACAAATTGCATGCCTCTACATACCAGCAAGAAACTGTATATTTAAATATACAATTCCTTGATACCAGATATTATATTTTCAATTCCGGCAAAGATTTAGCAACAGTAATATTAAAAAAAAGACCAGTTTTAATTCTTTTTAAATGGCTTTCAAAGTTCATTTAATCACTTATTCTATGAAAACTCTTTGAACATTAGAATACATTCTCAATTCTTTTATTTGTGGCAATTTTCTCCAACCCTTCTGTCCAAAATTTTGATGACAAAAGCACTAACCTTTTGGTTAACTTTTCAGTTTACATGGATCAGTGATTTTATAAGAATACCCCTCTGTCATTAATTACTCCACCTGTCAGGTAATCTTGTTATCTCTGAGTTAATTGCATCAGTTATTGTCAGGTTAAATCACTTTGGTGTATATGTTTATCCATTGGCTTCTTTTAAAGAATTGAGATTTAAACTTAAACCAGATTTTATAGATTTGGTATTTGTTTGTAATTGACATTTCCTCTTTTTATTTTTATAAAAGTCTGTTTGTTTTGTAAACAAATAACAGTTTATTTATATAAAGAACAGTTTATTAGAACCAATCGATTTTTACAGTAAAAATGCAATTTTACACAAAAGATTCTTTATCAAAAGTTGACTCATTTATGTACATGTGAATATATAGAACCGAAAAATAGAATATAATACATTTCATTATATATTTATTATATTAGATACATATATACCATGTATACAGTGAATATATATAAATGAAAGACTTGATCTGTGGTCATCAGGAAACAGTTTTCCCCAATTCACTGCCAAAATATAAAAAAAAATTCAATATCAATTTCCTCATGAGCCAGGTCTCTTAAAATTTGAGATTGATTGATTGAAATTCCTGCACATATTGAATTTAAGAAAAATTTCCATAATAATACCAACACCTGTCAAGGCGTCTCAGGTAAATGTATGTTTCATTCAGGTATGACAGATTTATTTGTGTCATTCAGACTCTAAAAGTCTGCTTGTTTTTCTCAAGAAATTGTATACTTTGTTGTCAGTCTTAAATATACTGTATAATTCTTATCATATAATATAACATGAGTACTTAGCACTCTTATATCATGTTTTTTAATGAAATAACTTTAGATATGATGTAACCAGTTAATTGTAAGTTGAAGGGTGTTAAGAGGACGTAATTTTAAAGGTGTCAAGGGGATGGTTCTAGGAGGTGAAACTTTGGGGAAAAGAGGTTTTATTTTGACAAATTATTTGAATGTGACTTTAATATTCCAAAGATACTGATTGATTGATTGTTGATGATTTACGCAACTTTTTCAGTATTTGTATAGGCGGAGGAAGCTGGAGTAACTTAGGAACATACTAAGGAACTTCGGCAGGAAAAAGATGTTTACAGTCCACAGTAAAAATAAAATACATAACCTGTAAATTATTCATTTAAGATGAATTTCTTAATAAAAAAAATGTCTTGCAATTTTTTTAAGCAATTAACTGGTAATAAATATTGATATAAAATTATATAGTTTAATGGTAACCTTTAAACATGTTAAACTGGTAAAATTATTTAATATAATTTTGAAGTACAGTACAAAAATATACAGTGGCAGCATTTGTATAATTGTATAATCAATTAAACATACAATGCACTGAAATGATTTTAAATTTTAGCATTTGAAGTTATATTTGCATTGTTTTGATATATTTCTCAGCCTCTCAATTACACCAGGGTCATTAACAACAATATTTATAATCTATTATCAGTATTGATATATAAATAGATTAAATAACTCCCATTAGCTTTTTAAAGATCATTTAACACAAACTTTATTGTTTTTTTAAACCTATAAATCTATATCCCTTACACAAGTTAAACAGAATTAATAAATATTTCCTTTGTATAAAGCCTTCCCTACTAATAAATTGGTTTTACATACTACCACTCAAAAGATCTAATAAATCTGGCTTGTTTTAAAATCGTGG